TCCTCCTCCTCCTCCTCCTCCTCCTCCTCCTCCTCCTCCCTCCACTTCCCTTCTACCCCTAGTTGTTGATGTTCCCTAGTTGGATCATGAAACATCTGCAAGAAAACCACCCAGCTCAGAGAGCACCAAGGACCCCACAGCTCCTCCTCCTCCTGTCTTCTAGCCCTGATGATGTTCCCTAGTTGGGTCATGAAATGTCTGCAAGGAAACCACCCAGAGATCAATAAAGACCCCAGAATCCTCTTCTCCCTCCTCTCCCTCTTCCCCCCTTCATTCCTTCCTCTTCCCCTCCTCCTCCTCCCCTTCCTTCTTCTCCTCCTCCTCTTCACAATCCCTCCTCCCTTCTAACCCTGATGATGTTCCCTAGCTGGGTCATGAAACGTCTGCAAGGAATCCCCCCCCAGCTCACAGGGCACCAAGCACCCCAGCTTGCTCGCTCTGCCATCACCCAGCCAAGACCCCCTAGACCCCCCCCCGGCACCGTTCCCTTACCTGGCTTGCGCCCACAAAGGTAGAAGGCCAGCCGGTCGGTCAGCTCATACTGGCACTCCACCAGTCGCTCGGCCAGTTCATGTTGGGAAGCCTGTCTGTGGAGAGGAAAGACCAGGTAAGCCGGGCACCAGCGCCCAACTCAGCCCCCAACGAGTTGCGTCCCGGGAGAGGAGGGGGCAGGAGACTGACCCGGAATTGCATACACACATGGGCCACACTCACACATCACTCTGCCTGGGTCACAATGGGCCTGGGTGTTTTGTGCCTTGGAGATATGAAATGGTGTAGGGCGGGGGTCTTCCAACTTGGCCCTTTTACACGTGCCTGGCTGAGGAAATCTGGGAGTTAGTCCACAAGTCATCAAAGGGCCAAGTTGGAAGACCCCTGTCTTAAAGCATCCTGGCTGAGAAATTCTGGGAGTTGAAGTCCAGAAGTCATCAAAGGGCCAGGTTGGAAGACCCCTGTCTTAAAGCATCCTGGCTGAGGAATTCTGGGAGTTGAAGTCCCCAAGTCCTAAAAGGGCCAAGTTGGAAGACCCCTGGTGTACGGTTTCCTGCCTGAACAGGGGGTTGGACTAGAAGACCTCTGAGGTTCCTTCCGTTATTCTCTTCTATTGTTGTTCCTTTAGTAGGTGGCCTAAACATGCCATCCTTCAAAACTCACTTAATAACGTTCTTGCTTAACATCATCTGCTCTGCACTTGTGCTGGATCGAGGAGGGAGTGTTCCCAGACAGATAATAAAGATGGATGGGTGGATGGATAGATATGGATGGATGGATGGAGATAGATAATGATGGATGGATAGATGGATGGATAGAGAGACATAGATAATGATGGATGGATGGATAGAGATAGATAATGATGGATAAATAGGGATGGATATAAATAATGATGGATGGATGGATGGATGGATGGATGGATGGATGGATGGATGGATGGATGGATAGATAGATAGATAGATAGATAGATGATAGAGATAGATAGATGATAGAGATAGATAGATGATAGATGATAGATAGATAGATAGATAGATAGATAGATAGATAGATATAGATTACAGATAGATAGATGATAGATAGATGATAGATGATAGAGATAGATATATAGATAGATAGATAGATGATAGATAGATAGATATAGATGATAGATAGATAGATAGATAGATAGATAGATAGATAGATAGATAGATAGATAGATAGATAGATAGATAGATAGATAGATGGACGGACGGACGGACGGACGGACGGACGGACAGAGATAGATAGATCTGGAATTTTCTTTCCTACGGACATCCTGACCCCCCTCAGCCCCCACCTGGCGTAGTCGATGGGTGTCCGGCCGTTTATGTCGGGAGCGCCTGGGTCAGCTCCATACACCACCAGCAGCTCCGCCTGGAGCACCTGACCGGCTTTGGCAGCCACGTGCAAAGGGGTGGTCCCCTTCTCCTAAAAAAAAAGAAGAAGAAGAAAGAAAGCAGTGAGAATTCTGCACATGCCCTGAGGCTCTGGACCGAGGTATAGATTAGCCTTGGACGTACTGGGTGGAAGAAGTTGGCTTGGGCCCCCAAGGAGAGAAGGCGCAAACAGGTTTCCAGGTTGCCCGTTCGGACACTCGAATGCAGTTGCTGCAGAAGAAAAAGGAGATTAGAGGGCTGGGAAGGGACTTCAACTCCCAGAATTCCCTGGCCAGCCAATTCCCCTATCACATTTTATCTATTATCTCTGTCTGTCTGTCTATCATCTATCTATCTATCTATCTATCTATCTATCTATCTATCTATCTATCTATCTATCTATCTATCTATCATCTATCTATCTATCTATCTATCTATCTATCTATCTATCTATCTATCTATCTATCTATCTATGGATGGAAACTGATCAAGGAGAGAAGCAACCTGGAACTAAGGAGAAACTTCCTGACAGTGAGAACAATTAGCCAGTGGAACCACCTGCCTCCAGAAGCTGTGAAGGCTCCAACACTGGAAGTTTTTAAGAAGAGACTNATCTATCTATCTATCTATCTATCTATCTATCTATCTATCTATCTATCTATCTATCTATCTATGGATGGAAACTGATCAAGGAGAGAAGCAACCTGGAACTAAGGAGAAACTTCCTGACAGTGAGAACAATTAGCCAGTGGAACCACCTGCCTCCAGAAGCTGTGAAGGCTCCAACACTGGAAGTTTTTAAGAAGAGACTGGACAGCCATTTGTCTGAAATGGTGTAGGGTTTCCTGCCTGAGCAGGGGGTTGGACTAGAAGACCTCCAAGGTCCCTTCCAACTTTATCATCATCATTACTATTATTATTATTAATCTATCATTTATCATTACATTGATCTATCATTGACCTATCCATCATCAATCTCTCTCTTTGATTTATATAACTATCTGTCTTTCTGTCTGTCTATCTATCTATCATCTATATTTATCTATCTATCTTGTATCTATCTACATAGCTATCTAGCTACCAACTTCTCTTTCTCCGTCTATCTATCTGTCTGTCTGATTTATATAGCCATATCTATCATCTATCCTTATCTATCTATTCTTATTCATCTATCTACAGTATCTCTCTCTATTTCTCTCTCTCTTTCTATCTATCTATATCCATTCATTATCCATCCATCCATCCCTTTTGTTAAACAAAGGCTAACATAAATGCTTTCAAAATAGATGGATTCCAGGACATCACAAAGACAAGGCAGGTGTGCTCTCTCTCTCTCTCTCTCTCTCTCTCTCTCTCTCTCTCTCTCTCTCTCTCTCTCTCTCTCTCACACACACACACACACACACACACACACACACAGAGAGAGATTCACACACTCACCTTGCTGAGATCCTTGGCAGTGACCCCGTCGTCATCCCGACATGGCAGCTTATGTACGAAGGCCAGCATCTGGTATTTGGCACGGATGAATTCGGACTTGGTGGGGCTGGGGGGGGTGAAATAAAGGATCAGGCAAGACGCTTTCTGTGCCCCCCAAGGACTGACCCTGTCCATATTCCAGAGGGGTCCGTGACTTTGGGGGGGGAGAGAAACAGCAAGAAGCAGGAAGAACCCCCCCCAAGCTCAGGCTAGGCGTACATCCATGAGATGTACTGCCCCCTTGAAGGTGGGGGGTCTTTGGTTGCCCAATCACCATTCCAATCCTTGAAGCCCCTTGCGGACCCTCAATCCACAAATTCTGACTTGCAACTATGGTCATAAAGTCGAGGAGTACCTGTACGGGGGGGGGGGGGGAAGGAACCTCACTTGCCAGCGAGAGGAGCGGCAAATAAATTTAATAAATAAACCAGACTTGGGGTGGGGGCTGCTAATTTTAAGCGAATTTAAAAAGGTATAAACTTTGTCAAAGGGGCATGGAAACGCCCTCTCTTATCTCCAGGAACATCTGGGCCAAGCGCCACAAGCCGGGGTGGCAGATATTTCCTGCCTGAGGAGGGGGTTGGACTAGATGACCTCCAAGGTCCCTTCCAACTTTATTATTATTATGGATTATCGCAGTCAGCCAGATGTTCAGACTGGATCTGGCATTTTTGTCTACCTATCAAGTCCTTCCCAAGGACCTGGGATAGGCAGATGTGGATATTTGATGGTATTACAGATCTCGTCGCAGGATGGAAGCAGTTCCTAGTAAGGCCGCCTTTTGCAATTGACTAATGGAGAATTTGTCAATGCCGATTATTATTATATTATAATTTATTATAATTTAATTTATTATTATTATTATTATATTATTATTATTATAATTTAATTTATATACCGCCCTTCTCCCGCAGGACTCAGGGCGGTGCACAGCATATTAAAAACAGTACAAATACAAAACATAAAAAATACAAACCCCTGTAAAACCAGATTAAAAAACCGAATATTAGAAGCTGTGTTTCTATTTAAAATTATTTTTAAAATCACCCTAAATAATGATGGTGTTCAAGTGGTGCTCCAGTTGTTTTGGGATTGCACCCAAGGCGCCTATCACTATTGGTACTACCCTTGCTTGCCTTTGCCACAGTCTTTCTATTTCTATTTGTAGGTCTTTGTATTTTGTGATCTTCTCCAGTTCTTTCTCGTCTATTCTGCTGTCTCCAGGCACTGCCACGTCCACTATCCAGACTTTTTTTGTCTTTCTTATCGACAATTGTTAAGTCCGGGGTGTTATGTGGCAGGTGGTTGTTATTGTTATTGTTGTTGTTATTATTATTATATCAAGGCATTCCCCCCTCACCCCCTCAAAAGACACCCCCTTCCAAAAAAACCCCCCACTCACTGGACTTTATCCTGAGGATTCGCTTTACGGCGTCCGCTCTGCACTTGTGCCGGATCGAGCAGGGAGTGTTCCCAGATGGAGTTCGCGCCATTGCTGGCGAGGGTGTGCACCATCTGGAAGAGAACACAATTGGGGGGGGGTTTGTGAGAGAACATGAGCACATATTGTGGGACACACACACACACACCCTCCCTGCCAGGAAGGCTTTCCCGGGGAAGAGAGCATGATCATCC